TTAGAATCAACAGCAGCAGCAGGGACAGAATTACACTGAAAGATCAGCAGCACTATGCTTCGGCAGCAAGGACCCCATCATGCCGAGCAGCGGCAACTATGGCAGCAGCGAAAGCATTACTAGTATCCGCAGCAGGAGCTCACCTGCAAAGCAGTCCGTGGTGTGACGCAGGTCGAGGCTCGCAGCGGCTGGATATGCTCTGCAGGCTCTGGACAAGGCCCACTGTACCACAAGAAAGTGCCGAACCACGGAGGCAGTATCACTTAGTGCATACGGCTGGAGGCAAGTCCAGGGAGGGAGGTGTCTTCAATGTTGTAACACATGTTTCAGCGGCTTTCCCTGCGTATGAGCGGGGGCTGACCTGCGTGCGCGGTGATTTGCGCCGTTTTTGAGAAGCAGTTTGCATCAGCAGCCATAGGTATGCCGCGCTCCAGCAAGTGGAACAAAAACAGCATGCCATTCTGTTGCTGCTTTGAAGTCCCACAACGCAGTGGACAGTCCTACAGGGTTCTCGTGTTTTTGCGCAACTAGCAGCGCCAGCTTGACGCTGCTGTGCGCGTTTCCGTTGCCCCTGTAGTTCCTGCTGAACCTGCTGCAGGAGCCAAAAGCCTCTTGTGCCGAGCCATAGCACTGGATTCGCGAGATTCTTGTTTGCCATCGTTTGCGTGGACAGACAATCTGAGTGAGACGCCGATGGGCTGCTGTGCGTGTCTATGTAGCTGCCCGCGTTCCTGCTCTTCGGGATAAAGTCGCAACAACCGCTGCACCACCAGCAGAGGCAAGCTGTAGGTACATATGTCACTGCCTGTTTGTTAACTACGGCGCTTTGTTGGTATTCCTGTGGAGGGTTCAACCGAGGCGGCTGACGTGCATCGGGGAAGGTTTGAGATCCAGTTTGCCCTCGAAAGGCAGCGGCAGCCCGACTCTGGAGTAATGCCTGTTAAGAAGGGACTTGCTGGGATTCACTATATGCTGTGGCCGCAAGAAAGGCCGATGCGGTGCTGTTGCAGGAGTGACGGCTACTGCTTCGCTGTTGCCCTGATGCTGTAGGAGGCTGTGCAAACGATGCAGGCAACGAATTACCACACTGATCTGAATGCTCCTTCTCAGTATGTGTGCACAGTCCTGCGGTGCAACATAGCGCCTTTACTCTAGCGGCAGCGGTTGCAGGAACGGCCGCGGGAGGGAGTGCAGAAGTGGTGTGATTCAGCACGTCGACGCCAGGAGTTAGAATACGGAGCATATGCTGCCTCAGGTGCAACATAGTTGCAGCGGCCGCAGCCAGTGCAGAAGGCGCGGCCATCTTCCATTGTTTCGCCTGCAAAATCGTGTTGCATGTTATAAAGTTTTTCAAAAGAGGGGGTAGCAGGAGGCGCATAGCTCTTGCTGCTGCCGTCGCCTCTTTCGCAACTCTCAGCAGCTGCCCGTTCACCTGACCTAACAGTGTGTTTACCCTCCGCAGGCGCAAGTTGAGGTACTGCTGTGCAGTCTGCATTTGCTGCTGTTGGTATAGCCGATAGCGCATCCCCTGCAGATGCGCCTATGTGTATAGCTGGGCTGCTGGGGAAACACAAAGACCGCGATTCCGTGTCAGGGGCCATCCAGATGCAGCTCCGTGCCTGTTTCGTGGAAACTCAGCAGTGCTGCAGTGGCTGATGTACTGTACAACATCATCCTTGCTTTGTAATAATGAGCATCGCGGGATCTGCTATGGCGCTTGGTGCATTCGCGTTTGCTGTTGGTCTGCATTTCGTGCGCTTGAGGTGCTCGTCATTCGCTGGTAAAAAGACTCTGCTGCTATAAAAGGCCTGTAGCGTGCTTCTGCTTCTGCTGCTCACGCAACGCCGCTTTTGACCGTTCAGCTGCTTCTGTGGCGAAATGATGGGTGGCCAATTTCGCTGGTTTAGCGGCCTATGAGTTCTGAAGTCCTCGTCATCGTGGCACTGGTACCGCAGGGGGCTGTTGCGGCTGCCCCAATGCGTGCCGTTGCCGCAAAAACCTTTGTGATTTCTAGGGCAGCAGCGCCTTTTGCTGGATGTCTTATCGATACTGCAGTAACTGTCTGCGGGTCGGAAGCTATAGCTCCTTCTTAGGGCTCTGCTGTGGACACTGAGGAGCGTGCTCCTACAGATACTGTTGCTCCTTGCCCGTTTTCTGGAAGACTCGCTACTGAAACAAACGACGGAGCAAGGGAAAGCGTCGCTGCCTCGTGAGGGGCACAGCAACAAGCCCCTTGTGCCGGCTTCAGCAACTGCTTCAGCTAAAGCTGTTGTGTTCACTGTTGCCTGCGTCTGCTGAAGGTTCTGATGCCTGTATCGATGCTTCTGGTGTTGTTGTTGGCAGAGCTGCGCTGTATCAGTCGGCGACATTCGGGTGAACAACTTGGTGTGAACAGGCAGCAGGAAAAGGGCCTTAATGGTCCGCTTCTTGGGAGGCCCTTAGACCCCACCCTGGAAAGCCGATTTTGCCAACAGTATTGCTGTTGCTGCGACTTGTTCACAAAGTTCTGTTCGTGCGGCGTCTCACAAAGTGTCGATAGACTTGCAGGCACTATAGGCAGCAGCATTAGCCTCGCTTTGTTCCCACGTAGAGCCATGGCTGTCGCTTTTCTGCCTTCGCTGCGGGAGTTGTGCTGATGCACAAGGGGGTATTTGGCAAATATTCAAGGATAAGAGGAAGCAGTCAACAGAAATTTCGTAGCGCAGGCTCTGAGGGCCACGGAACGCTGTGAACTCGGAACCGCATGGGCAGCAGCACAAGCAAGACGGCGAACACCGCCCTCATGCATTTTGTCGAGTTACGGGGCCGATGAGGTCTACCGTTTGTGGCTTAGGAGCCTCTCCAGTGGTTCTGTCGGCTGATTCTCTCTTATAAGCATGATAATGACTTCCTGTTAGAGGAACTTTGGGCCAGGAAAGCCCCTCCTGCGTAGCACAAGTGACCCTAAGCCCACGACTCGGCATTAGGGGCCTCACACACCCACTCAAGGTGCTGCAGCAAAACCATCTACACAGCCATCAGACTATTCGCCGATGTTATGTATACGAGCATTGTCATATTCTAATTTTGGGACTATGAGGCAGAGTCCATATGTTGGGGCAAAAAAACTTTCTTGAAAGACAGATCCCCTAGCCGACAGGAGGAACGCCGACAAAGAGCCGGCCACGCCATCGCTAAGAGCACAGGTGCCCAGTCTGCCGACTTGAAGGGTTCTACCGAATCACTAAGTGCATGTTGTGTTAAAAACATGTTTTGCTTATTTCACTATTGCCGTCAACTATAGAGGGGTTTGGTTAAACCAAGCGCTGAAAGTCCGAGCACGACACGAGCAGGAGACACTGAAGCACTGGGGTATCTTTGATCAGGAGACCTTTTCCCAGCCTTTCCCCTCTTCAGGGAACGAAGTCGTTTTCTCGCATATTGAGCTCTAAACAGACATACTTACAGCATCCAACAATATTATAAATAGAAGTCAATACGATCCGAGCTCCCGCTGCCTCGCCGACTACCATAGCATTGCAGTGTCGGCACAAACCACCCTGCGAGAACCTACGTTGCGCTCAAGTAGCGTCTAAAGGCATTGCATCATTCCACAGAAGATGCGGTAGTGTGCTCCTAGCAGACATGAGTGCCATTCACTACGAGTAGTAGTGTTCCTAGCTGACCAGATGTAGTTTGAGGATACCAGGTGCAGCGCTCCGCCTATCGTCTTCATACGATAAGAATTCCACCCCCATAGCCCGTGGATTGCTTAGCCCAAACGTTTCTAGTGTCATTCCAAAGGAGCCGCTTCTCTCCTCACAGTGCCCTCTCCCAATAGAGTTCCCGCGTGAGGCAAAGCTTGAGTGCACATCGCTCAATCATATGAGCACTCCAAACACTCACACGGAGTTGTGTAGAACAAATCGCATAGAGGGTCATAACCTCGACTTTTAAGGTATCGATGCTACTTTACTCTGTAACCCACAATGTAAGAACAGCCACATTGAATAGTCAATCCTTTCGCAGCTCTGGGATGAAAAGTGTAGCACCAAGCGCTGGCTTGAAGCTCGGCTTGCTGCACTTAAGGCCCAATAATTCTCCGAGGTAATTGTTAATGGCATTATCAGTGCTCAAAGGCTGACGAAACGGCACGGTTTTGTCGCGTCAATGCACGAGTCCTTCCTCTCGCTGCCCTCGCCTACGGCAATGTAACGAGGATGTGAGCAGTGTAGTGTGGAGCCGCACTCAGTAACTCAGCACACGGACAACTCGGCGTTGCATCTATAGACGAAAACAGCCCTGCTCTACAACAAGTAGGCCATACGCGCCACCGAAGTGCACGCTCATTACCTATCTGCTTGAGGTAGAACTGCCGTGTTAGCAATTGCCGAAGTGCACAATGACTAGCAGTGTTAAGCAAGCGGCGCACCTGACTGCCCATGCAGGAACGCTCCACGTGCTAATACAACCGCAGTGGCTCACCGCAGCCAGTTCCTATGCCACTGACTGAACAGTATATTTCTGGACGATCCTCAAAGTGACAGGGAGGTCATCTTGTTCTTCGATCGAGTCTGGACTAGATGTGAGCTTTGTATCAATAAGCATCTGCAGCTACCGATACTAAAATAAATTTCCTCCCATGGCAAATGACAAGCTCCTGGAGGTACATCCGCAACCAGAAAACCTCTTGCGGCTCAAGTGGGTGCGTTCCTGCAGATAATGTAAGTGGTCAAGAAGCCAAATGACGCGTAGCATAGGGGGTGACAAGTAAGCGCACTTCAAGACTTAACTCAAAGTCCTGAGTTAGACAATCGAGGCCAAAATCCCCAATGCATAGCACAGCCGTATGAAGCACGCGAAGTCGCCATACAGCCAGGCTCTTCCGCGAGCACTGTTCAAGGCGGAGTGTCCATTACACGTTTTTCACCGTGCATTCCACTTAGAATCCCATGAATGGACGCATGGCAGGACAGATTCCATTTTTCCGGCTGGTGTTCCTGCCGCTCTGAATTCATGTGTTACGTCGTAGAAGAAGACTGTTCGAGAGAAGAACGCTCTGAAGCAGTAGTAAGGAAAAACTCTTGCTGCAATTCCTGCTGCCTTTGTTGAATGACAAGCATCTGGGCGGTAACTGCTGCAGTAAGCCGTAAGAGCGAGGAGACATCTGCAAGAAAAGCGGCAAAAGCACCTCACGGAGCGAGCCATCAACAAAAGCACTCCCACCGACTCACCCATCATGCAACTATATTTTTGGGCTTGCAGTTAACAGAAGCAATCCATCACACCTGTGGGATGCGCTGTATTTTTCGTCTCAGCGTCCCGCTGCATGACTGCGGCATCGATGCGGGAAAAGAGCTGCGAAGGCAGCAGCTGGAGGAGCAGTCCGTGTTGTGGTACGGTCAAGGCCAGCTGCTGCCGGCGAAGGGAAGCTGCAGTAGCACCAAGTAGCGTCGCTACAGAGTCACAGCGGCGCTTCAGCTCGTCCTGCATAATATATAGCAGCACCAGCCGACCCAAGAGTTAGTGAGTGACCCACCGCTGCAAAAGGGTCCTTGCAAAACAGTCCATACAATAGAGAAAACAAACCAGAGAGCAGCGCAACATGCATGCATTCAGACGCAACCCACCCATACCCCTCCCTCTAAGACCTACCGACTGCCGTTCAAGCTCTGAAATCCTTTGTTGTTGCAGTTGCTGCTGAAGATCCATGCGCTCTGCTTCGTCCGCTTGCAGTAATAGCTGATGCTGCAATATGGCTGTTTTACGCTGCAGCATTCTCCAAGCTTGATGTTGCAGCAGACGAAGCTGCTGCCGCTCCTCGTGAAGGAATACGGATTCGGCAATATCTACCCACTTCACAGCCGCAACGGCAGCTTCCGCCGCAGCGGCCGCAGCTGCTCGCCTTGCCTTCCGGCTACTGCTTCCCGCTGACTCCGCCTCAGCGGAAGCTGCTGCTTTAGAAGCGGCCACACGCATCCTGCGCAGTTCATCCAGCGCCTGACGCTGTTGCCGGTACGCTGCACGTACTGCCTCGGCAGCCTGCAGGTGTATCTCACATTTTTGATCCTGCTCAAGTTGGAGCTGCTGCCGAGCGCCTGTCGTTCTGTTGCCATTCAGTGAGTGCTTTGGTGCGGGGATGGGAGCAGCTGCATCTAGATCAAGCGCGAAAAGCAACGGCAGACGCGTTGCTGCTGGTTCTGATTGAGGCGCCGCTCCTGCCGATACTGTTGTGGCTTTACCTTCCGCATAAGCAACAGCCAACAAAAGATTTGGGGAAGAGACAGGCGAAGGAACAACGGGGAGGCATCGAAAGCCGCTCAGGCCAGCCTCAGTGAGGCTGCTGCAATGCAAGGTCACTCCGTTTCCATTGTGGAGCTGCTGCTGAGGCACAATTGGGAGAATGCCACTCACCTCCACGCGAAAGGCGCCGGTGCTGCAAGAGAGCACAGCGTCGCTTACGCTGCAGCGACTGTCGCCAGCGGGAGCAGGAAGGGGCTGGAGCTGAAGAGTTTCGCCTTTGCACGAGAGTGGCAGCTGTGATGCAGCAAGGCATACGAACGCCGGTCCTCTATGTATCGGTTGCTTCAGAATCTGCTCGTGCTGCTGCTGCAGGCTAAGCTTCCGATGCATGCGCGGCTGCAAACTGTCTGCAGCTGCAAGGCACTCTAGCTGCGTAGCTTGGACTCCGCCGCTCCAGCGCAGCAGCAACAACAGCGGGGAGGCGCCAATTAGCAGCTCTCCTTGCTGAAGTTCATCTGATATGTCTTCAGAAGGACGCGGTATTTCTAGCTGCACGGGTTCCGCTTGAAGCTCTTGCTGCATGCTGCTGGTCTCTGTGGTACTGCTGCCCCGTGCTCGATCCTTGAGCCACGTAAAAACTTCCTGTTGCATGTCCGTTCGTACGCCACAACTTTCCCCGACTTGCGTGTTGCTGCTACTGCCCTCCTGGCCTATGCACATCTGTTGCACCACTTGATAGTGCAGCGAGGCGTCTTGGAGCTGCAGAACTAGCGCAGGCGGCAGTTCGGCTCGGTTTGGAAGAAAGGGGGTGAGGCAGAGGCAGCTGCCTGTGGTGCGTGGGAAAGACACGAAAAGAGCAAGTGCAGTCCACAAGTCGATGCGTTCAGCCGCAGCACCAAAGCTGAAGTGAGAGGCTAGGAGGCCGGAATCGGCGATCGGCGGAAGAAGTATTTCTTGCTGAGGTATTTGCGTGCTGGAGCTGACATCAAACAACCGCACCACTGCATGAGTGGAGCACGCAGTTGGTTTTGTAGGCGTTGCTGCTGTAGCCGGCGTGATGGCCGTCTCGGGCAGGGCCTCGTGAGTCAGCAGCGTGACTGCGTAGTCGCAGAAGGGGTGGAAAGACACCTGAACAAATGTGCGTTGTTGCGCTCGTTGCGTTGGCTGCTCCACCAGGCTACCGCTGAGCAGCACTTTTCCAGTGGTCTTGCGGGACTGGAAGCCAACACCACTGGCGCTGTGCTCCGTCCGCGGCAGAGGAGGCACTGCAGCGACACAGCAGCAACGGGAGCAGCACAGCGCCACTGCCTTGCCGCTCCTGCTGCAGCACAAGAAATCAAAGTAGCCATCTTCGTCTACATCGTGGCCCGCTATATGCACCTCGAAATCACCTCGGTAAGCGAGCTGCTCCTGCTGCTGCTGCTGCTGCTGCTGCTGCTGCTGCTGCTGCTGCTGCTGCTGCTGCTGCTGCCCCCGCTGTGCTGCGACGTAGCAGCCAACTCGCACCACAGAGCTGTTGTGACCTCTTGTACTGGTACTCCTCTGCTCCAGCACGCGGAACACCTGCAGCACATTGGGCTTCGCATCTGGATCTGCTCCGCCAAAGTAGCAGCAAACCACTTCGTCATCGCGCCTATGGCCTGGAAGCTGCTGCGTGCAGCGGTGCCGCTGCTCGTGCTTCACTGGGAAGCTGTACGTTGAAAGACGGGGGCCAAATGAGGCTCTGATTTGAAGACCGGTGAGCGGTTCGTGGGCTGCGTCTTGCTGCCTGAGATGCTGCTGCGGCAGCTGTTGTTGCACCTGGTTTGGGGGTGGAACCAGCTCGAAGGGCACCTCTCCAAAGGAACTGAGCTGCATAGCATTTCCGCCTTTCCTGCTGCTGAGCGCAGAAGCAGCCGCACACTGGGTGGGCGCCGTTGAAGGCGGCGTCATGTTGAATAGGGCAGCCATTGTCTGGAGAGCTGGGGAAGGGCCGCTATCGCGCATGCAGTAGCAGGTTGCGCCGCAGCTGCACTCCGTGCATCCGCAGTGGCATGGATCCGCCGGCTTAGAGTCGCCGTTGTGCAGATGGGATGATAGTATGATTGATAGGCTGCGACGTTGTTTCCGCTACCGCCTAGCTCCACCACCTTATGCCAGTGATGTTCTTCTTTTCCCTGTGCTGCTTCTGTGGACAGGCACATACCAGCACCGCTTGTTCGGCATGCATCAGTAGCAGTCAAAAAGCGCGCTCGGGGGTGTCGAGGCCAGTTTTCACTGGATGCAAGCGTCCACAGAATCGACTGCTAACGCAGAGCTACCCTGCTTATTGTTGCTTCTGTCTAGCATCCACATGCAGCCACACACTGCCCGTGGTCTCTGTACCCCCCAGCGGCTGCAGCCCCAAGGATGAGGGCCCTGAGAGCTCAACATATTCAGGCTACTTTTATTTTCCTGGTTTCTCACAAGATTGGCTACCAGATCATGGATGCGTTGGGCTAAGTACAGCACACAGGAGGGCTTGGGAGGCGCAAGTCCTCCCCCCGGGGCCTTATGAGCCATGCGAGTTATGTGTGGATTTTGTTGCGTGCTGCTCCTTGGCCGCTTGAGATTTGCCGACGGCAATGGCAATCTGCTGTCGCAGCGTTTCGCGGTTGGCGCTGAGAATCCAACCCTTCTGTGCTGCCAGGAGCGACACTGCGCCGTGGACCCCCAGCAGATGCATACCGAGTAGAAGCGCAGCACACAACAGGCGATCATCTGCCGAGCGCTTGCTGCCACAGAGACAGCAGCACTGCTGCAGCAGCATACGCTGGACCGGTTCCTTTGCGGCTCATGTCGCTTCGCAGCATCGGGAGTACCTTGTTGCCAAGGAGACAGCCTGGTGCTGGAAAAAAAGCCATACAGCTACAGCATCTGCTGCGCGATTCACCACAAGCACAGTGTCAGCGAAGGCTGGTCGTGAGCTGCTTTTGGATGAGCCGCAGAGGCTCGTATTAGAGCGTGTTGCCCAACTGCTTCAGCAGCCAAAAAATGCGCACAAGCATCATGCTGTCCTCGAGGGTCTCCTTCCGCCTGCCCTGATGATGGCTTTGACACGATTTCTAGCATTAAGGGATGACGCGAAAACTCTGCGGGCGTTACTCATGGAGCAACAGCAGCAGCAGAACCCTAGCAGCAACGCCACCTGCAGCCTCGAGGAGGGAGAAGATGTAGATTTGCTGGATCTGCAATTGCAGGAAGGTGCTGTTGTTGCCGAGATATCTGATTTGCTGCTACAGCATGCTGAAGTGCTTGCAGCAGTGGCAGAGGGACGAACCAGCGCCCGGAATAAGCATAAGCGCTCCGAGGCCTCGACGGATGAGGCCATGCTAGAGGTGCTTTAGTGTCGCATTCTCTCCCCACTGTGGCTGCAGCTGCTTTAGCCTCTTCTAGTTCGGGCGCTGCATGCCCCCACTCTCTTTTCTACTGCATTACTTTCTCAGGCGTGTCATGCCGCGTTGCCTGACCACGAATTTACCCCACTTTTGTGTCCCTAGTGGCCGATTCTTTCGACTGCTTCTGCTTCAATAGGTTTTAGCAGGGGTTGGAGGCGAAGAGGCCGCTCAGTTTGCGTCCGAGCTGTTTGGAATGTATGGAGCTCTTGCCGAACGCCAGGGGTGGCGCTTCGATGTCTTGGAGAGAAACAAGAGCGCGGAGGGCTGCGGCCTGAAAAATGCAAAAGCCCTTGTTTCAGGTCGGTGCTCTCTCTGCTGTGACTGCTGCTTCTCTGGATTTTGTCTCCGTCTGTTTTAGTCAATCCGCTGTAGAGAGAACGGAGCTGAGGAAAATGTTGCTGTCGTGCAAGCTTCTCGGGGAGCAGCGGCAACATAGACCTACCCAGTGACCCCGCTGCTGTATAGAATCTTCATTCTTGTGTCCAGACCGTTCTACTGCCGCCTTTACTGCAGGTCATGGAGTCGGTGTATTGCTTGTTTTAGAGGCTGGAGTTCATCGTGTGCAGCGTGTACCATCGACGGACGCCAAAAGGCGGCTTCAAACGTCTACTGCTGCAGTTACTGTGCTTCCCTGTGTGTCCGAGGTTGAGGGTAAGCAGCGGTAGACTTTAAAGTTTTTAGCGTCATTCGCGGAGAACAGTGCCTCTGAGACTGCTTCTACAGGCGATGTTTGCTGAGGCGCCCTTGGAATAAAGGAGGGTGGCACACCCCACCTTCGCTGTACCTGCCACTGCGTATGCTGCCGCTGCTAACGTCGGTATCTGGATGTCCAGGCTATTCCCAGCTTGCTTCCCTTGGATTTTACTTGCTTTACTAGGCCGCTGTTGGCGTTGCTGCTTCAGTGGATATGAGTCCTAGTAGTCTCCGCATTGAGAGCATGCGAGCAAGTGGACCAGGCGGTCAGAGCGTTAACAAGAGCGAAACAGCCGTCCGAGTGACACATCTCCCCACAGGGCTCTCCGTGTGTATGAAGGACACCTCCAGTCAAGTGAGATTGCTATGGTCCTGCTGTTGTTCCCTTCTGAGATTGGCATGTCGTTCTCTTTGTCGCTTTGCTCTACTTGAGACTGCTTTCACGATTTTTGCCTTTTGTTGATGCACAACTTGATGCGTTGTAGAGAGCCCGTTTTCTGTTCCCGTGCACAGGTGGAAAACCGCCAGCGGGCATTACTTCTCCTACGGCACCTGCTGCAGCAGCGCGTGCAACAGCAACAGCGGCAGGAGCTACATGCTGCAGCAGGGGCCCAGATGGGCGGCAAATATCGCAGCGAAAAGATCAGGACATACAACTTTCCGTCTGATTGCGTACGCGACCACAGGTGCGTCTAGGCGGTGATTGATGCTTTGTTTTAGGATCAGATTTTGAGAGGTTTCACAGCGTTAAACTGCCTAGGCGGTATTTGGAACAAGCCAGAGCATGATAGAGGCCGTGAGGCACATTGAGAGACGTGGGCAGACCGGCTCGGGTGCTCGATGAAAAGAAGACAGCATGCCCTCTGGACGTGTGGAGTCTCAGGATATCTCAGCATGTTGCCAACGTCAGGGAGTTCCTTGGCAGCGCAGATGGACTTCCTCAGCTGTTAAATGAACTTTACATGCAGCACCAGAAAGTCGTGCTAAACGAAACGCTTCAGGCCATACAGAGCATTGTGGAGCAACGCTAAAGCACCTACCGTTTTGTCTTCATACACGCCCGCAATGAGCATCCGGAAGTAGCAGCGGCGACTGTTGATACTGGAAGCGTTACCATAGGGCAGGTACAACAAGTGCAACAGGAGATATTGTAGTGCCAGTAACGTTGCAGGCAGTAGCGGAGTGCGGCTCTGAGGTTGCCGTTGGGCCATTGACAAAAGTTTGAGTAACAGCAGCGTATGTATTGTCGATTAATAGTGGTGGCTGAGGGCCGTTGTCATGAGATCACCGTGCCACTTGGGATACTCTAGGTAATTGTATCAAGGTTAGTTCCCCAGGCCGCCTTTCTTCCGCTAGTCTATCTCACAGCAATCCGTTACGAGAAGAAAGCGTTTGCGGTATACCCTTTGGTTGCTACCTGTCTGCTAAAGTGCAATGTTGCATGTTAAATGCTTGCGGAGTGACAACATGTATGCCACTGGCAGTTTTTTCGAGCTTGTTTCATAGTGAATGCCGAAAGAAGAACCGCTTTGATTGGTATGTGTCGGGAGCGTAAGTATTTCTGTCGCTGCAAGCTGGATCTCCTATAGTTTTCAAAAGGGACTTCTGCCAAAATAATAGTTCTCTACCAGGGGGACAATACGAAAGTCACTTCCCTCAGCGCAGCACAACCCGTCTGGACCATCAAAGCGAGCAACGCATACCGAATGTTGGGGGGGACGGGGGCGGCAAGCGAGCACTAGTAAGACTAAGGCATTTTGGATCTAGGGAGGCTGATGTGCATCATAATCAACGAGTTGTGAGCTCTGGCATGTAGTGACCACAGAGCGGGTTTAAAAAAGGATTTGCAAGGAGTGCACCCACAGTTTTGTGCACCAGGTGCACAAAACCGTAGAACATAGCCTCCAAATGTAAGGGGAATAGAGATCACAGTAGCTTGAATACGGTCTTGTGGGGTCGTACGGACCATGGCTACATAAACAGAAAGTGGAGAGACACTAGTTCCACGTCCACTAAGATTGCTGCTTGACATACTTCGCCTTCTTTTTCGGTGCTTGTGTTGAGCCACGGGGGTAGGAGACCTGCCTTATGATGAACGATTGCAAATCCCGATAATGTTGTGCCAAACAGCACGTGAAGCAGACGGGGAGGTACCGAGGACTTCTTTCTGCGGAAAAGCCACCAGCGCTCCCCGAAGACAGTGACGCATAGGTGATTGAGCCAAGACCCTTCTCAGACGTTTTCGCCTTTTCTTCCACTGTCGTCTCGAGGAGGGGGTTTGGGCTATACCCACTAAAAAATGGAACAAATACGCAGCTACAGCTCCATCAAAACCGAATAAAAGTGAAGCAGTTGCGTTCTGTCGTATCTACCCGTAATGCAATGTGCCACTCTATTCTAGCGCTCGTTTTTCAAACTAATCCGCTCAGAAGAATGACATACCAATGGAGTTCCCCCTTCCACCTGCGGAGGAAGCTAAAGTGAAACAATCGCTGGACTAGATCTCATGACTACATCGAGTTTCCAAGTCAAGCGTGTAGGTCTGTCCTCTTCAGGTTTCGCGAATCATTCCCGAACTAACAATTACAACTTCAAGTGCATGCCAAAACAACAGCACGTTCATATTACACTTTTGGTGTATGAATGGATCAGTGGCCCCGTCTGTGTACCGGGCCACATTATCATTCCGCACTTTCTGATACACTAGTAACATTTGATAAGGAATTAGTAAGGAATTCAATAGTTGGCTAGTCTGTCCGTATACCGTGATTATGGCAGAGTACTGTTAAAACAATGCATTAAAAATGCAGTGTTGTGTGCATGTGCGCTATAAGCTTCGTGCCGCTAAATGTTAATTTTCGGAGGGCTCTGAGGCTGCACCAACGGGCACCGTTAATTTTCCAATTCCTTCATATCCGGAACTCTGAGGCACGCGGGTATTGAATGGATGGAGCTCTTTCGAGAGACACACAATAGCTTTCTATTAGGTTTGTATTTGAAATTTAGCCTTCTTGCTAGGGATCCCTTAGATGTCACGGTAAATGCTTTTCAAACCCTGAGTGCTCGTTTTAATTGCCAGCGGCTAAGTCCCAAGTTCCGGTTATACTTGCGCTACAGTTTCTGAAAAGGCAATTGAGGAGCAGCTATCTCCGCGCGTGATACTATTGGTGCAGCATGCTTCTTGCTGCAGCGCGGTGACAGCCGCCCAAAAATATAACTCAATTTTTGCCACACAGCTGTTCCGGTTTGTCCTTTAAAATACTTTCCCCAATAAAGTAATCCAACCAAAAGAGGCATACAGAGTGCGTGACTCTTTGAAATCGTTTTTTTTCAGAATAATGTGGAAAAGAGGCCATGACGGAAGGAACAATGCAATACGTACAGAAGTATGTGTACATATCTGTAATTGCTGAAGGATAACGAGTAATAGCAAACGAGGGCTCAGAACCAACTCAACTTGTGAGCGACGACCAGAAGAATGAATACAATGCACTGATACGCATATGTATGGATATAGATGGCTAGAAAAGATGTGTAGCGACAACATGTTTAGCGGGCCGCTGCGTTTAAATAAGGTTGATAGCTTTCCAGGTGCGTTTATTCACAACGTGCGGCAGGCTCCCAGTTCGACACCGCATTTTGCACCGAAATGATTCGAGTAACGTGTACGCACGCGCCCACGCACAAATAATTTGCTGCGGTTTGTATTTATCAAGTCTATGTGCAAGCCGGAATCTAGCAGCTCTGCTGCAGTGTGTCGACAAGAAGCCAAAATATCGAAATCGCTTCTTCTTTTACAAGTCATCTGGTCACGAAGTAAACGGGTGTGATACTTACTCTAAGGCCATTGTATAACTGTTTGTTGTTGGTTCGATGCTCTGTGGTTTCGCTTACTGTGGGCAGGTTGGTGACCTCCGACTTTTAAGTCCTTCGCTTTGGGAGGAATGACCGGCTGAATATATGCGCGAAACGATTGACAAGTGCCACTAAACAGCTCTTTTAGATTTGTCTTATTATCCACATAAGTAACTTTACGTCATCTGCTTTCCTGTTGGTGCTGCTAGTACTCTCTCAGTGTAACTGCCTGCAACCTAATAATTGATGGGGCATGGTGCGACTCCTTGTAGTGCTCTTCCGGCAGTCCCTACAGTGCTGCTCCTTTATCTGTTCATGAGTGCACCATGTGGGTGCGTGCTTGTCTTCTATCCCTAATATGTGGCCATGAATCGCATTCCATTTTGTTATGAAGATGTGCAGGGATTTGGAAGATTTTCGCCTCACAGCCTCGATATGCAGATGGGTTCAAGAGATGTAAAACTGTCGATTGCGGTAATATTGCTTTTGCGTAATAAAAGGGACAGCAGCTGGGGGATTCGAGGCGTCACCGTGCCCTCCCGATTGTCTAATACCTTTGCAGCCTTTAAACTCGGTGAGCACGCACCCAAATGCTCAACATAAGGCTCCTCTGGGAATTAGCCAGCTACGTACATGGGCTGAACCCAAGCGCAATTCTTGTAACACGTGAGAATGTCTGCCTTGTGATGATCCGTAATGTGAAACCCTGGATAGATGAGGCAAACTTACAATAAGTTGTGATCGACACTATCTGTGGTAGTGAAATTGCACACGATATAATAAAGAATGATAATTCGTTCAGGTATTAAGCGGCAGCAATTCACCAGGGCCACACCAATGACGCGTCTCCGCCAATTTGGCCTGAGATGATCCAAAGACACGCGGTGCTGAATGCAGCCCATGTTAATGGAAAGTCCTGCACTGCAAAGTTAAAGAAGATGCGGTACAGGATAGCTGGATACTCTCGGCAGTAAAGCACCAAAAGTAGCTGTTCTTATAAGCCATAGAGGGCAAGGGGGTTTGCTGTAGAACACTTGCACTTTCTCAGAAGTCTTTTAAGCACGCCACCTGTAGGCGTCGCTAGCACTGTCGAAAGCACCAGATCCCTTTTGAAATCCATAGTTGAGTCATGCCCGCTCAGCAGATTCACGGGGAGTTAACCACCGCAAGGCCCAACATTAAGTGTTCCGTAATGCTCCAAGCTTACTTACGGTTGTTTATCTATGCCAAGGTTGACATCCGGGGGAATCCTTGGCGCTCTTCAGCGACTGCGGGCATCTAATACAACGAGTTTTCCGTTTCGGCAGCTGTCATTCATGGTAGAGGATTATTCTTGCGCCACAGGCCACACCGAATTCTTAGGGAAGGCAGTATGCCTTCTCATGAACGAAAAGCACAACGCGAACCCAAGCTTCTCCGAGAGCTTTGCGAGTAGGCGTAGGCAAGGGAGCAAAAGTTCATAGCATAAGCTAGCGGTAGCAACGATGAAGCATGCAGTAGCCGCGCTGAGCCCTGGGAAAACGTAAATTCGTGTTGGCATGAGTAATGGTCTGACTTAAGGTGGCCCAGTAACCTTGTACAGCCCTTAATGTTGAGCGATTTGGTCTGCCTTGCTTGGCGAGCTCTACTTACTACGCGTGCACCTGTAGGATTCGATACGCAGAGCGGGAAGTGGCTCATAGTTGAATGTGGACCTTAAAGCGCACCATAGCCCGCTACAGTTGCTTCGCCCCGCTGCTGGTGAAGCAGCACGGTCTGAACATAGCTGTTATGTTAACGCCTTCTACGCACTGATTCATACAGCACGGCTGATTGTTTAGTCGACTCGTACATTTGAATTATTGCCGAGTACTCTCAACGCAATCCGAGGAGACGTATTGTTGCGTGGGTATGCCCTTGATGCTATGTGCAACTAGCAGTGAATGCTCGGAATGGTTCGGGGGTCCAGCCATGAATACCTTAGCTGCCTCGCATTCCCTGTGTAGGGAGTCCTTTAGGGAACAGGCAGGTTAAGGAGACATTTTCGATGGGCAGTATTGAATTGCTCCTTTCATGTAGGTATTGAGTCTTGAATTAAGCGTGTTTTGCCAACATCCTAGGTAGTGTACTAGATGGACCCTTGAATCGGGATACTTTCGCCGTAACTGTTAGCTAGATGTGAACAGCGCTCTTTGCT